TATCTGACAAGCAGTAGTGTCCGAGCAAACTGACTCACCAGAAGACTCGCAGCACCTCCTTGTTCATGCGTCTTAGAAGGCAGAAAGATGGCATTCCTCCAAATGGCTTTTATGCGAAGGAGCTCCAAGATTTCTTCTTTGTCTTCCCTTACTTATTTGTGTACATAAGTGATTTTCAGGATCCCATCAGCTTTTACCAATTAATTTACAGCAAAATAAATATTCACGTTCCTTTTTTTTCCAAGCTTCATAAATATCCAAGTTCACCACTGGTTGCACTGCTATAGGAAGGAGCAAATGGGAACAGGCCATTTTTAAGCTAGCTACTGCCAAGAGAGAGGCCTATTGAACTGTACCCCAACCAAGTCTATGGTCAAGGTGTCTAACAAAGGCACCACACTTCTGTTAGAAGTTTTTGGAGTCCACAAATCAATAAAATGGTCATGGTGGGGAAATCACTAATTATACTAAGAGTTAAAATCAAAGCTGTTCAAAATTAACTGATCTAAATTTTAGAGTAACCTAAAATGTAGATTAATTTGATTTAGCACTATCATGGTAAAATGCACAGGTAACAGCCACTTTCTGGCTCTTTTATTCCTATTTCCTTTTCAAGTAGATACTTGACACAAACTTTGGGCTTGTAAAGACCCAGTAAGGCCATTTGCATTTTAATTCTTCTATTACTTAGGACACTGTTCATTAAGTAACTTGCAAAGGATTCTTGGTGTTGGATAGTTTCTCTGGGTTCATCTCAATCATCTAAACAACCAACCTTTGAAGATTAGTTAATTAGGCTCAGAGCAAATTACTACAAGGAGGAGCCCTGTAACTTTGGCACAGAAAAATCTACAGCTGTGAGGTATTTAAGCACCACAAGAACTGCAAGGCTGGTTTCAACTTACAGATGAAACCATGAATACATATCTGTCAGAACTGCTGGTAAATGACTCATGGAAATATAGTCAAGACACGCATTTAGGTCACCACAACTGGAAAACATTTTTGAGGAAAACTTGTGGAAACACTACAAATTAGCTAGAAAATAAAGCTGTCAAATTTTGCACTTTCAAGACAAATGCTGTTTCAAGACATAGTGAACTTGATTCTTAGAAAATAATTTTGCATTGTTAAGCGAAAGAATCAAGTAAGTAATCACTACTTTTTGCGCTTTCACAGTAGCTGGAATAATTAAATGTATTTTTTGCTACAGCCCCTAAATGGGTAAACATAGTTCCTTCTTGAGTAATTACGTACTTTGTAATCTCCTATAGCTTTTAGTCTTCAGGAAATCAAGTTGGAGTCACACATTGTTTTAATACCTATCATGAGTTTTAGCAGCCATCAAGAAGTTGAATGGCTGGCTGCTTTTATTTACAATACATTTTCAAAATGAGACTATTTTCTAATCACTTGCTCACACGTTAAGATGCACACATATCAGCTCCAGATATAAAATGGAAAAGGTCCAGTTTCAAAGTACATAAAAAAAGAAAAAGCTGCCATCAGCCATTGGACTACTAATTATTTTCTAAAGATTAAGTTCCAGGAAAACAAGTTTATTATAAACATTTAAAAACCTGAGCTGCAAATTCTGAGGAAGCTGCACAGAACATGGAGGTTGCTGAACAGAATCACATCATGTCTCACAAACAGGAAGATTTACTTATATTTCAGCTTTTCTGCCACAAGGTAGAAGACTGGCAATTAGGAAAAATTAATAAATACACAGCTTTTAACTATAAACATCATTTGAACCATTCTTTTAAAAAAGTAAAAACCCCCTTAACAAATCAATCTAATGTTAAATAGGAAGATATATAAACATTTCAGCTTATTTATGTATTTCAGATGGGCTTTGGTAGACCACCAGCGGCAAGACTACAAGAACTTTCAGTATGTGTATGTCTCCCTACTGATTTATGCAAGGAAGGAAGATAACCAAAGTTAAGAACATGCTTTAGCAGTATCAGCTGTGCTTCAGGAACCACGCTAAACACGGTGCCTCGCTGAAGGTAACTCAAATTAACTTTTGCCTATTTCTACAATGCCCTCCTTAGCGTGGCAGCTTTGAACAGCTGCTGTCCTGCAGCTGGAACACTACCCCTAACCCAAGTTCGAAGGCAAAGTAAACAGATCCTTGCACAAGTTTCCTATGGATAGTGCAGAGGTAAGTTAGAGAAAAAGAATACATTAAGAACCCTTTAGAGGTGTATATTCTTCCACTTATTCTCAGGCATACAGACTCTGCTGCAGCTCTCCTGGAAGGAAACACGGCAGACCAGGCCCACTTGAACAACATAAGCTTCCAAATTCCAGGCAGAGGGGCCCAGCACTCAGCTGGGGAAGCACCCAGATACTACAAAAACGTTACAAAGCGCCTTGAGTAGTCTGCTCTTTCCACAGTACTGTGAAGGAAAAAACAGGGTAAGTGTCAAGAATGGTGATAAACTGCAGTAGTTAGATTAAACATTTATTTTTCATATATTCACAAAATCTTCACAAAAGTTTTGAAACTCAAAAAGGAATTAGACGAGTCAAATACAGAGATGAAATGTACAAGACAAATGAGCAGGCAAACTAAAAGGTCTTGAAAGTATTTTACTTCAGATTGAAAAACGAACAGTTCAACTGTTCTGTTTAAATAAAGATTTGCAAGATATACAGTATTTTATGAATACAATGCTGGTCATTTGAGGCAAATGTAAAACACCTCAATTTTTCCTTCATGCTTTTTTTTTGCCTTTTTTTTTTTTTTTTTTTCTTTTAGAAAGATACTGTTTACCAAAAAGAAACTTGAGCAGTCCAGGAAAAGCTATTTTCCATTAAATTTATGAAAACCATAAATTGAGGCAAACCTAAGATTCCCAATGGAATCAAGATTATCTTCCCGCTACCACCACCTTAAAATTATCACATGCTTATTGGAACACTAATATCTGCACCCTAAGAGTACATTTGCTTTCAACGATGAGGGTGATTCTTTTAAAAACACTTCAGTGTGGTAAATGCGATACAGATCTTTGCAAGTATTAAGTTTTGGAACAGTTTTGCTAATAGCAGCTAACAATACTGGATTAATATAATTTATAAATAATTGTTCCCTAAGCGGTGAACATAAGTCTACACATTCACAATAATCTAAAACAAAATAAATACTGTGATTATGCATAATGTGGTACAACTTTTACTAGTTTCTATGAACAAAAGCTCAACATATTGTTGATAAAATTATCTGATCAAATTAAAATATGAATCTAAAATTTAAAAAACCATTGTCAAATTAACATCACTTAAGCTTAGTGTTTGAGTAAATGTTACGACTTTCCATATTTTTGGAATATATATATTTTCTTTTTTGAAGTAAAAGACTTTAACACATTGAAAATGTCTATTAATTTAAGTGATGACATCAGTTCTGGTCTTATTTTAGCATTATTTTACTTTAAAAATCATTGCACTCATTAGTGCCCATTAAAGGTCAGGTTGGTCTGTAAGTATTCTGTAAATGTATATAAAAAAAAGTTTCTAAAAGCTAATAGTACTTTTTATAAAAGCATCATCTCCAGAACAGCTGCATTAAATACAGCCACGTATGCCGAGTACAGACTTTCCTCTTTAAAGAAATATGTGAAAGTAAATGCCACTTAACTTTCTAACATTGAAGTGTCCCAACTCCTGTTCCAAGCTGTGCCTGTGAGTGTAATTACACACTGAATTCGCATTCATGGCATCAAAGTTACTGCAACCTAGACTTGTAATGCAACTGAACCAGACAAATGTGGAGTTTAAATTAAATGATAACTAGGTCAATGAAGAAATACTATGAGATATGAAAGGTTTGGGTCTTTAAGGCAATACAAAATATATTTCATTATTTGAAGTTGTTTTTGGTTTTTTTTTTAAATAATTAAGTGTAAATATAAAAATGCCTAACAGGGGAGTGAGAAAAAAATACTTCAGTTGTAAAATTTACTTAAAGCTTCAACAGTTATCATCTCCTACAGGAGTTAGCAAAGATATAAAAGACAAAAAAACCCAGACCTGGAAGGGGGAGGGAAGGCACAAACAAAGAGGCATGGGATTAAAGCAGCCCAGGAATGCAAACGTCTGTAACAAACTGAGTTTTGTTGTTTGTTTTTTTTAAAAACAAAAAAAAAAAAAGAAGAAAACAATCACCACTACCAACCAAACAGAAAACCCCCAAGTGGCTTTGTATTTCTTTAAAAAACCAGAAAGGGTCGGGGAGAGACCACTAAGGGGAGGAAGAGAAGGATGCAACTATAAAACCCCATTGCCTGAAATGATGGCACTCTAGAAAACAAGGTGAAGGTTACTTCTCCGAGATGACAAGCTCAGTGTCTACACAAAGTACATGTAACACTTTATACAAATGAAAAACTTCATTTGCCACCATAAACCTTTCTTTCAGAGGAACAGCTTTTGCAGATCAAATGTTCTATTAAATCTTTTAAATGCCAAGAAAAGAAATTCTGAGCAATATAACTAGTAATGTCTCTTTATATGGATGTTAAGATGACAATTCAGATTATTTTCCAAACTAATCCTGAGAAAAATTTATGTTTACAATTTAAACAGTAATGTTATGTAAAAAGTATTAACAAATCCACTATTACAAATGTCAGTTTTCCTATATGGTCATCTATATATACACAATAAAATGGTAAGTATATGCAAAAATAATAAAAAAATCATGCACAAATTACTTTCACCTTTAAAGGCTGGGTTTCCCTCAAAATACAATTTTTTGCTTTTTTTTCCTATTTTTTTTGTGTTTTATTTGTTTGTTACCACCCCCTAGACACACTGAGTACTACCTCTACAGGTCAGCATGAGCTGATGGGAAATACATTTATTTTACATTCAAGCTTTTATATCCTAAATGACCCTGTTGTAGCATATGACTTATCAAATGAGCAGCCTTTTTCCTCTTTTTTAATTTTTTTTTTCCTTTTTAAAATTTTTTTCTTTTTTTTTCTTTTTTCTTTTTTTTTTTTTTTTTTTTTTTTTGCAGTGATCAATCTTCATGATCCGTTCCGTGGCGAGCTGGGAAAAAAAAAATGCAGTTGCTAATCAATGTCTGAACAGTCTGAAGCTCCGGAAGAGATCCAAGGAGTCACTATCAAACTATCCTGTAGCATGAGATCATTGCACACAGAAGAACAGTCATAAAATAGGCAACTATCTACAAAGGTCTCAAAGGGCCGCATCCCTCTTGTGTTTCCTCTTTTTGCCGTGGAAAAACTGATGGTGTGATTTGCTGCCTTGATGTTGTTTGTTTGTGACTGAGGTACCGTGGCTTGAGTTTGTTGGACCTTGGAAGCCTTTGTTAGAAGAGCGAAATAACCGTGCAGAACCATGCTGTAAAAGAAAGAGAACATGGTAAATCGGTGCTGAAAGGAAAAAAGCATGGCAATTACGCAACCCTATTTCTGGATAATGAGGACGTTAACTCATGAAAGTCTCACACTTGGAAAAACTGATATGGCAAAAGAAGCCAGGCCATTGATTAGACAGCAGCACAGTACCACAAATCTTTCACTTTGGTGGTTGCAAACAAATATTCAACTCTAGACCCAAACCCATGCAGGTGAAGAGAGAAGAGCAGAGCACTTTGAATTCCGAAAAGAACAGAACTGTTCTACTGCTCCTACTTCACAAACATCAAACAAGTGTTTTACAGAAACAGAAGTCCATAATCCAAGATGACAGATGAAGATTGCTCAAATCTCATCTTCTGTGCAAAATTAAGAGAACATTCTTTTAAGACCAGGATTAATTTTATACCACATCTTTTTACAGATGTAGAGTCTCTCAGATGGTGCATAGTCACATTCCAGTAACAGAATTAGCTCTGTGTAATAACACAAACACACATTCATGGTACATCCAAGGCCTAGTTTGTGAACTGTCTCATTACTAGCTAGAGATAGATCATCAGCAAGGGGGAGGCAGCAAGTCTTCAGAATTACTTTTCAGGAATAATATTCCAGAAGATTCCAGACTACTTTTCATACATTAAAGAAGTCCTAAATTCTGAAAAAGTATAAAAATTTAAACTGCATATATCCAAAGTATATTGTATACAGAGGCATGTAATATTTCCAGATTATTGCATTGTCATAGAAGCTTTCCTCAACATGAGAAATCCCCTGAATGCACAAGCTCTGGTAGGTCTCATCATAAAGATGTCTTTAGGCAGAAATGAGAGGCAATTTCATGTATCAGCAAGGAATCTTCATCTCCCTTAATGAAAGACAGTTCAACAAGTATCAACAGCTAACAAGTATCAAGAGCAGCCAGTCATAGATTTAAACATGAATTTTTGCCAACTGTTTTTCACTAAGCGTAAGCAAGTCTCATTAGTTCTCAAATTCTGCAGTAAAGACTGGACTCACAAGCTTTTTGCAAAAGGGAAAAATGGGTGCAACACAGCTGTATACTTCTGGCAAATCTAGATTTCCCAAAATGAAATCAATCCAATTTCATCCGTTTTAAGGCTGGGAAAGCCACTGTTGTAAACTCATCTCTGTAAGCTAAACAGAGAACCAGGTGATTTTAGTTACAATCAATGCTCAAAGCTTTCTAGTGGGGTATAGGGGAGGAGAAAAACGCAGTGTTTCCTTTCCAGAACAAGCTACCCTTCCACGAAGGGCATGTGTAATATTCAAATAATCTATACAGTTGTTGTTTCCGAACATTTCACAAACCTGAGATTTGTTCGTGTTGCTGGATGTATTGGCTGTTTGACTATTTTGTGTTTTCCCACTTGACTGGGAGGATTCCAGTGACACTTCTTGTGACCCCACTCTGTTTGTGGTAGACTGACGACAACTCAATTGTTTAGAGGTTTTGCAAGGTGTTCCATCAGAATCCTTCAGGAAAATGTAAAGCATTAGTGAGTTTTTCTTAAGAGTAAGTGAGTTTTTCTACAAGTGAGTTTTTCCCTTAAAAATAAAGCTAGCAGTGGACAAAACTTAAAACATGTTTATTTTATTAGATATTAAAATTCTTTCAATCCAGAATTCTTACTGAGTAAAACAGACAGATTTAAAAATGTATTGATGCATGATTCTGATTTTGGGATTTGTCTTTTATTTTTTAAATAGAATTCCTAAACAGATTTTTTTTAAGGCTTTTCTTTTTTTTTTAAAAAGCATATGGTTTAGGACTACCAGTCTTTTTTTGGAAATAGAGTTTTCCCGCAGAAAAGAGGGCTATGTAACTTTGTATCTACTGTATTCACTTTCTACGTGTGTTGTGTCAAAAACATTCTGCAACTTACATGTGTAGAAATTGCATAAGAGGTAACATCTTACGCAAATTAGGATTCTGGATGAAATAACTAACTAGGATTCCAAGCTGTCCAAATGTATTCTGTGGCAATACAAATCAGGAAAAGAAACCAAACAAACTGAAAACCTCCAGTACTTACTACATCACTAGAGCTGGACAGTGTAGACGATGATGATGATAAAGGACCTGATGAAGAATTTGAAGAATGTTTACTAAGTGTTTCTGAAGTTTTATTTCTAGGTTTTCCTAGTGCTTCATTCTCTTCAGCAAGATTATTGTTGCATTTGTCTAGCTGCTGAGTATCTACTATCAAGGTTACTCCATTACCTATTAAAAACAAAATAGAAGCATCACCACACATTAACACATAACTGCTAAAATATGTTGCTTTTTTTTTTTTAAATATACCCACTCAGGTATTATATATCTATTACATCCAGCAGGACATGTACAGACATCTGCACACGTACATACTTCTAATACATGCAGGCACATGTGTGCATGTGTTTGTATGTATGTACTGCATGCAGCAAGCCAACACCCCACAGAGGGTGTGGTGGTTTTCTGACAAAATCCATTAATGTACACTCTGAAAACCACCAAGCATCACCCACAGCTCAAGATGGAAATTAGAGAGATAAGACATGGCAGAAGGTAGTAAGAGCTCAGATGTGCTGCTTAACAACATGACACACTTCAACAGCACTCAAATACATAGGTTTAAATTCTGTTCCTATATGCCCAATACTCATCAACCCCCATTTTTCTTCTGCTGGAGCTGCTAGGGTCATAAGAATCCAAGTAAGTCTGGTTGCTTTGTATGATACCCTGCACTGAAAATACGAGGTACAGAACTCCCATTGCTCTCTAACTGCTACCTTAATAAAAAAAGAAGAATCGGAACTTAAATCTAAACTAAATCTACAAGACAACTACTGTTACTGTCACCATTATCTTCCTGATAAAGGGTTATTTTTATTTTTTTAATTACATAAGACACCTAGAAGTTATCTCTGATATATAACACACATTTGTTGCTCCAATAGCTGTATTTGTATATAGAGTTTAATACATACATCACAATAGGTAGCTAAGTATTACTCTGGAGCTTGCAGGACTGAACCATGGCTGTCTGCTATTAGCAGGGGGGACGGCAGTGCCACAAGGGTCTACAGATAAAACATGAATGGCCAAGAAGCACATTCAATTTACAAGGACAGTGAGGGAAATCACTAACAAATGCTTTAAAACCAAATAAACAAAATTCCCACCTCGCCTAAACACTGGGTAGTTGTGTCATCTTCTCTGATTAATCCCTAACAAGAGAAGGCTCCAAGCAGCTAACATTCTAAAATTAATTGCAGAGTATTAAAACTAATTTTAATTTGAAAACTCCCAGCCAGTAGATACACCTGCACCAAAAGAGGGTGGCAACTGGCTGGTGGAGTCAGAACATGGGCAATGAAAATAAAGATTATTTTCAAGGGCATTTTCAGCACATTCTCTGGCTAGATTTTGTGTGTTTCCATTTGTCAGTAACAAGAATTATGGTATTTCAGGATTTCTGTTTTAAAGACTTATTCCACATATATGGTCAATCCTGGTTTAAATATTGCTTCTGTACACATACAATATGTTAAACTTTAAAATGAAAAATAAAAGAAAAATGGAGGGTAAGGATTTAGATTTAAACTAGCATTTCCAGTATTTCTTTTTAAAACCTTGTCCACACTGAAAGGACAAAGGAAGTGTGACAGTAACAACATGTGTAATTTAAATTGGAAGTTTCTCAAAAGCCTCCTTTTGCATGCCAGCACTCTTTACAGACCTCTATGCTGACCAAATCTATGGCAGTAGAATAAAGATATTGTGGTATAGCCTTTTTATTCTTGTACAAATCTAGATTTTCTGGATGAGAACACAAGAAAAAGTCCATCACTACTGAGCAAAAAAGTAAATTCATATTAAGATGCATACATTGCCTTATGTGGGGCAAAAGCTACAATAAAACTTAAATTATCAAAATATGCAGGAAGTTTCCTACTATCAGCCATGCTTAGTCAAAACTTACCATTACACGAAGACTCTGTCCTACTTTGCATTCCCCACTGCTTTGATATCCAGTCTCTGTAGGTGGCCACCTCTTGCGTTACTCTAATTATTCTACCTAATATACTGTAAACCAGGAAAAAAAACCCCAACGTCACCACAATTAATTTTTAGGTACACAAAAATATAAGCAATTAATGTCTGAGATTTAGGCTCATAAAACTTACCTTTCAGTTTCATTGTTAGGATAATATTTAGCTATTGGGGAAACTGCATGGCTCAAAACAACATAGGCATAATCAAAAGCCTGTTTCACTTGCATGGCACCGTAGGAACTCCTCCCAACATCATTACCTTAAAATAAGAATATCATTAAATAAATAAATAAACTGTGGTTACCTCCTTTCAGACACAAGACAGTAATATTTTTTAAATTTGCCCTGAAGTCCCAACTCACTGCAGTTACTTCTTGTGGAATAGAAGAGAATTAGTGAATCATAAATATTTGAAAGAGCTTAAAAGACCTAGATATTACATGTACAGAAGTCTAAAATGGCAATTCTCTGGATAAAAGTGCAACACATGAAGAAAAAAAATAAAATCATGTACTGCATATATATTACACATATAACAGAACTATCCTCGATGACATTTTTTTAGATCAGAAATATGTTAACTCTTTTCTATGAATAGCACTTGAGTCACCATTTCAGAAGCCACACATTGAAGTCAACAATCAACCTTAATATAAAGGTAACAGTACAGAATGAAACCACTATGTATTTATGTGACTTCACAGAATCAAACAGGAGAGCATCCATAAGAGTATAAATACATTATAAGGTGCAACTGTGATACAAGCAAGCACAAGCTTGAAAGGGACCATGTGTTCACAAGGGTACATCTAGCCCACACTCAGGCCCATGCTGCTGTAGCGTTATTGCTGTTACCACAGCACGTGGAAGTGGTTTGGTGTGCCCTCTCACACCCTACCTCCTGACTGCAGAACAGGCGTGCTCTTGGGTGACACAGTAACTTTTGCTAGGAACACGTCTTACAGAAAATCATTGTGTTCTGAGAGCATCTTGTGTTCATAGACATGAATGAGGTGTTTCGGTTTGGGTTTTGCTATGCTATTCTTTGATTTAACTCCTCTGGATTAAGCATTCCCCTAACTTTTTTCTTAGTCAATATGTTAAATCTTGGTTTATAAGGATACCTGGCTGTAATGGATCTTCGATATACAGCATTGATGGTCTGTAGCCATCCAGCATGCTTTTTTGCACTTCATCCTTGGCAACATAAGAGCCACCATCCTTTATTCGGATTCCAGTCTTCAGATAATTGAAGTGACGTCCATATAATTCAAAAAACTCTATTAAAAGAACACCATAGTTGGCACTGGGCATACAGGCATCTTCCCTGGGATGCAGCTATCAAGAAGAGAGAAAAAAAAAAATTTTCAAGTGCCTTTAAGTGCCTTTTCTTTTTCACAGCAAACATGTTTAAATACAATAATAAATAATAATAAAACGCAATATATAAAGCAAACATGTCTAAATACAGTATTTTTCCTTGATAAAGCAGTTTTGCATCTTTAAAATAAGATGCTATCAAAACTTTTATAAACTAGTTACCTCTTAAAAATAAGGCTGGCAAGTATTAATGTTTTTGTATTGGAACTTTCAGCTTAGTAAGTGAACTTCCAACACTAATGGCAGGGTTCTTGTAAAAAAGCAAAGATATTTGCACATCACAAACCTGGGTTTGCAATACAAATACAGGCTTTTAATGTACACAGCTATATAAATGATCCCGTCTACTGTTAAGTATGCAGCCTGAGAGATTATGAACAAAACCAGTTCATAATTGTAACAGATACAAAACTTGACTTTCTTTTTTTGCAGGAGCAAATGGAAATACTACTAGTCAATATAAGAAAAAACTGGGGTTGGGAGAGATTTTGGTTTCTTTCAAAAAGATACGCCTGTTGCCTTCACTTCTTTTGTGCTCAGCAGGCAACTGTAATAGCACTTGGCAAACACCGAGCTCCAGTTCAAGGCTCAGGTTTAAAAGTAACTACAATCTGGAAAAGTACAGACATACACATACACACACACACAGAGTTATACAATAACATTTAGTACAAGAAAAAGAACAAGATTGATAAAGCCACAACTCAGCTACTTCATATTTCCACAGTATTTGTCTCCCCCAGGCACAACAATATAGATTTAGCTCATGCACTTTGTTCTCTTAGATTTAAGAGAAAGTTGTAAAACACATTTATTTGACATCAGCTTAAAAACTTAGACAAACAAGAAAATTCCATTGCATTCATCAAAGCACATACAGGGTGTATGACCTGGATAACAAGTGTTATAAAGGACGGCTGCATCTAACACTAAGCTACGTAGCTTGTTCCAAGTAAGTTACACAATAGTCAAGTTACTTTACCATGAATGACACATGTGCCTGGTATACAGGCGTATACTTGGACACACCAAGGGATGTTCCAAACATCTCTAATACCAAAAGTACCAGTATGAGAGAAAGAACAGAAGAGAGGTGGGATGTGTCTGTTTTTAAATGAAAAGGGGGTGCAAAACCACAAACAGGATAGTTTAAATCATTAAATTTAAGGATTGATTAAATTCCTTCTTAATGTAATGTCCTTTTGCACCAATGGCATCAACAGATTTCATTACACTTACCTGAAGGAAACTGACAGCCATTAAAAAAAGACTATAAGAACCGATTCCACCTGTAAATACTTCATTAAGGTCCCTCTGCAACAGGAACTGTTTCAATACTAAAACTAGATACGGTAATACAGGATATTTCTGAAAGAGAAAAACAAAGGTGTTAGGATACTGTGACGCATATATACAATTGATGCTAAGAAAGCATATTGAAGCTATCTGTTAATATGTTAAGTCTCAAAGCTAAGTATAATTCTAACTTACTATTTTTAGTAACAGGGGAGAAGCCAAGTGCTCTGCCTGTGATCAAGACAGTTATTTTACCTCTTCAACTCCGGTGGCAGATATTAACAATAGAAAAAAGTTATTACCTCATAAAATCAGAATGATTTTGTTTGAATATATAAATACACTTGCTTTTCTCATACAAGTGAAAACGCAAGCAAAGGAAGAACTATGGAGATATCCACGTCTGTAACAAAACCTTCCTGCTACAACCAAGGTGATATCCCAAAGCGGACTGAGACTTCTGTCCTGCAAGTACTTCAGATGCCCAGAGTTCAAAATGATCCTTCAAAATTACTACACCAAGAAAACATTTTAAAGGAGCCAAATACTTACCTTTGGGTAACTGGTCCTTCACTAGGTTTGTCCGCATGGATTCCCTTAGAGGTGTGCATACGCTGCACGTGCGGAGAACATGGACTTTTTGGACAGCAGTGGAGGCTGGGGCTACGCCTGCACTCTGTACACCCCCTCACAGGGGAGGGGGCAAAAGAGGCTCGATAGTATCTCTCCTTTTATTAACACAGGGCTAAAAAGTTCCTTAGTGTCAGAGAAGAGATGTGGATCATGGTATCTGTGATTGCAAAACATGAAAGGGAAAAGAAGAATTTCTCCAAGAACTTCTCTGCCCGAGTCTTACGGTGAGCATCGAGAGCCCTATTTAACTGAAGATCTCAAGATCACCTTTTTGAACTACTAAGAACTTACAGTCACAAGCTGAAGTGTTGAGTATCAGTATATACCAAAATTGAAAGACAGGATTTTTCTCAGGAAACTGCAAACCCTTAATTAAGGCTTCAGCTGCCTCAGACATCCTAAATAAACTGGATGAAGAGAAATAGGCATTTCCAAGGGTAACACTGAACATGACACCTCAGTTAGGTATTCAAAGTTATGTGGGACAAAATAAGACGCAAGAGAATGCCGTGCAAGTGTTTTATAGAGAGATCCTCAAGAACACCAATGAAGTCACTTGGCAAGCACACATCAAGTTTTCTCCAAGTTAAACAAACGACCCTCCACGGTAGCGTAGCCATTACCTGCCGTGTGTCAGGGCCGAGTGAGGGCCGAGTGCCACCTCTCCCCGCCACACCAGGCTCAGCCGCCCGTGCTCAAGGCCAGCTCTGGTACGGCACAGCTCCATGGCCTGGGCTTGGGCTGCTGGGAGAACAGCCGTGTGGGAAAGCGCCATGTGGGAAGCCTGGCTGGGAGTCCCTCCACTTTGCTCGAGAGCTGCTTTTCATCTCAGCTGTTCCCCTTGGTGTCTGCCTGAGCCATGCTGCTGCGCACTGATGCTGGCCTGACCCTACTCCTGACCCTAAGCACTGCCTTGGCGTCCTCAGCCCCCACCTCCTCACTGGGGACTTGTCTGCCAGCTGCTGGCCGGACTGTGAGCCGACCCCGACTGTCCCCAGACCTGCTCTGCTCTTCAGGTTGGGGTACTGCGGGGCTGCAGCCCCATGCCTGCCCGGCTGCCACACACAGCTCCCGCCCTCCCCCCCGGGGGCACAGCCTGCTCTTGCCGTGCCCCGACCCAAGGCCAAAGTGTCTCCAAAGGGTTAACAAACAACCTGGGCAACAGGAACACGCCAACGCTTTTTTCTTTCTTTAAGTGCACAAAAATGCCTTCAGGCTCTCAAGAGAAGACTACTTCCTGTCTTGAAATTAAGAAGCACATAGGCAATTTTGGCAAGTATGCAGGGCTTTATGGACTTACCTAAAAATAAATTTTTATGTGGAGTGTAACAGAAATACAGCTCCTGTTTTGTGGCAGAAACCCAAATACGGACAGCCTGCCCACCACAAGGCAATGCGACAACGCGCAGGATGTAAAAACTGAAGTTAGCTACCAAATTCCAGGTAGGCGTCTTACGACAGAGAACCTGGGCATCCTCCTTCCCCAACAAGGAGCTACATAGCACAAAACTATCGTCTTGATTTAGCAGCAAGGGGTTGGCCACCACAATCGACTTCTGTTCCTCAGATAGAGGCTGAGAGAAGAAAGGTCTCTGGACCCATGCCACCCTCTTACTCTGAAGGCGGAGGCAAGAGGCCTCACCAGCACAAGGTTTAAGCAGGAGGTTTATTTAAGCACACAGGTGAGACTACACACACAAGAACTCAGACTATTTTACTGAAACTGAACTAAGACAGAGATTTTTCTCCTGTGTCCTTCTACAGGTTAAAGAAATAGACACTGTAGAAGCAAACTGAGCTACTTTCATACTTGCTACTAAACATACATAAAAGAACTGAAGATTAGTAAGTTGAAGGCCATACATTGAACTCATCAGCAATTGAAAATCCCCCCAAATTTGGAAGACTTCTTGCAACTCGATGCCATTATTAAAGCAGATGTACATGATTTCTAACCCTTATGATTGAAAGTAAAGTGCTTGCTTTATTCAGATTTACAGAGTTTTCTGAAGGAGTTTTACTTGTTTAGCTATTGAAATACTTTGATTCTCTTGATGTCCATTAGTTTGGTTAAAAAAACAAAGCAGTTAGTAGAACAGTAACACCGAAGCACTTAAGTGAGACTGAACTGCACTTCATCTCCCTACACACAACATGAAAATCCAATCCGAGAAAAATTTTCTACTGCCTTTATGAGACATTTACTATGAGTGTCCAATGCACTGAATAGGGGAAGGGAAGGAAAGAAAAGAGTGTAACGATACTTCAAAACTTAAATACAAAAGCTCATTAATCCTAACAAAATGATCATATATATTAAACAAAAATAATGGCAATGTATCTATGATATAGGTATTAGTGAATCCCTGAACGATAACCTACTAAATTTAACTTATTCTACTTAATTAGCATTTGTATGCCGAAACAATATTAAATCTAGAACAAGATTATTCCTACTTTCTGCAGGAATGTGTGGTTATTACTAATTTTAAGTTCAAGGAACCACAGTTAGAAGAGCAGAACATTTAAGACAGGTATTAATGTATTTTCCTTAGTCATAGTGTCATTGTAACTTCTCCATACTTTCTTTATACATTTTCCTATCTTCATGCCTTTTAGGGCAATATATCTAAAACCTGAGAACATCACACAACAATATCGGACAGCAAAAAATAACAGAGAGTGAAAGCGTATCTTTAGTGAGGATGCAAAGTAAAAAAAGTCAAAGTAAAACAGAAAATCAAATTAAGTCATCAAATATTCAGCTCTGTTGCCTAACCTTGATAAAATCTTTGATGAGCTGGGCTGCTTTAACCCCGTTCTGTACATTAAAGCTTATATCAACTTTTACTTCAGTGAAGGAATCTGTCAGTTTAATAATAGGTACCTGCAAAGGAAAGAGAGATCAAGTCAATACAGATTTCCAAGACACATTTGGTTTCATTCATACTTATACACACCAGTAAAACCGAAACGTTTTATGTATTTGTAGAGAGGATGTCCACAGAGAAAACAGGACTCCTGTCTATTTATGAACTCACTCTCCTTGCAAATCTGTTTCCATAAACTTTGCTTTTCTAACTCATAAATGCTATTTTCAATTTACTATCTTGTTTAACAGAACTTCACGCTTCATCTTCAAATTCATTTTAAATTGTTTTAGTCAGTTCCTGGTGCAGAAGCATTGTTCTAGTGTGAAAAACAAACACCAGAGGGAGACAAACACTTAAGAAATAAGCATAAATGGTAATAGAGAGATATTCTTAAGAAAAGACACACTTGTGTCATTGCGGGTAATTGATTCCTCATCAAAATTATCTTCAAACAAGAAGCACAAGATATTGAGAGCACTCTGACATATCTCCACCTGAGTGGTTTCCAAATTACCTCTCCCTACTAATAATAGCCATCAATTAGACACCTGTTTAAACCCCAACACTCATACATACTCTTACAACTAGCAAAAGGTAGGAAGTTATAATGGAATTAATCCTATCCTGCGCAAGACATACCATTACATATTTATACAAGGCTGTACTTATTAATTCTATGTGAAAATGTATTATGTCTGCTTACTTGGAATAAGAAAAAATAAATCATTTACTTATGTACAAACCTAGTCCAGAAATTCACAAGTCTAATCACATTAATTCACAACAATGACTAGTATAACCTCACTTAAAAGCAAGTGTATGTTGTGCAGTATAGAAAATTCGATGATTTTCCCAAACAGTGCTGCTGTTGGAACACTATCAATTATTTTGTCAGTTATAAAAACCGTACTAAATAAAAAGGTTCTATTGGTTCTATTTCAAATTTATATACAAAACAGTTTCTGCTTATGAAAATTCATCCTTTTAACCAAGATCTTTCTTTGATTAGAAATTTAGCTTAGAACAAGGAAATACCCTCTTCCCCCAAACTTACAGTTGCTTTATCTAAAACCTTCACTGAGTTTTCATCTGCTACATTGTGCTTTCTAAGAGCTTCTTCCAAGGTCCAAAGAGGTAATGTCTCCCATTTTCCAAACACAACTAAATCAATATCACTGAAATGGAAAGAAAATATAGATTTATTTAAATTAAAAGACCAATAAACTCAAAAGATAAACAACTGACATCCACACATAACTAAAATAAAGCTGACAGAATGTAGCTTAATCAAATAATTTCTTCTTAATTTTCTCAGGAAAGGGGTGAGGATGAACTCTTACACTTGGGGAAATACAGAACGTTTCAGGTTACCAAATGGGAGGGGTACAGATACACATACAAATCAATTGGGTTGCAAAGCCAGAGATTAGTCTCCTCAGGCCACACTGTCAGCAGAGAGGGATCAGCGTCTCCAGAGTGCTTCAGAGCAAGAAATTAATTTGTTGTGAATCAACACCTTTGGGCTCTATTAACCAGTAATGCCGATTTAACAGTCTGTCACTGAAAGGTAAAGTCCTGTTCCCCATCCTCTACTCCCAGATGCTTGGCCCTGTTCCCGCCTTTACTCTAGGTCTGGTATTTGTCTGATCCACAGCAAATCAATTCAACATATTAATGGGCCTGGCAGAAACCAACTCCCCCCACCCCTTTAAAAAAAAACCAAAACATTCTGGGGTGATTTCCTGCTTCTTTGCAACTCAAAGTTGGTTTTCTGGGTGATCAGAGCACCAGTGGGCACATGGTAAGCAGCTGGCCTTTAGTGCCAAGAACAGGGAGCAGGGAAGGAGAGAGGAAAATGTCGCAACTTTGACTTCAGGAAGCAACAAGCTGTTAAATAAGATCAAACCATCTAATTAACTTCACTCATTAACTTAGCTCCTTGAAGAAGTGTCTCCATCCCTTGAAGAGGTGTCTCCATCCCGCTGCACTTCCTCCCTATGCACATACGCATTCATCTGACTACACAGGGAACTGACACCCTCATTCAATGCCTAAACTCAAATTCAAAAGGTGACTGGTGTCCAAACTGAAGACAGTGAATGCTACTGTGAGATCCTGAGCTTTTTCCTCTTTGCTCCCTAACTTCTTCTTTGATTTCCCCTGCTTGGTTGGGAACGCAAAGGAGGCAAGAGTATAACCCTATAGTTATACTAGCAGGCCACTTCAGAAATATGGAAAACCGCGTAACAGAAAACACCAAAAAATTTAGAAATACTTCCCCCCTGCCCTGATTCCACAGGTCTGCCGATTCACAAACAGCACTGCTTTAACAATCTCAAAGAAACTACATCTGCATCAGATGGAATACCTCTTGCCGACAAGCAGTGTCGGCAGCAGGCAAGTTCAGCAGCAGTTCAGCTGCATACCATTCAGCTCACAAGGACAGGCAGCATGCAGCCAGTTTCAGAAAACTATGTTCAAAACCTGTGTGGAGAGTGGGAAATGCTGCTGGACACTTCTCTTCTAAACTAAATTAGTGTTAAACCCACTACTGATGCTGACAGTTAACAACAGGAGACGTTTTTCTGATGCACACCAAGAGAGAAAAAAGTAGCTCTGTTGTCACCTTGAGGATAGATATTGCCTGCAAAATAACACAGAGATCCAGCAGCTAAACTGTGTACCCAAACCTTCAATATCAGCTTAAGTAAAAGGATATTAGGCACATTCTAACACAGAGTAACAGAATTAAAAACACACTGTAGGTCTTTCTGAATCCCAGAACCTGAAAGCTAAATTAACTATACAGTTACTAACGGATGGGGAAAACCTAGAGCACAGGGAAGCTTTGATAGGAGGCAACAGTACCAACACGCAAATGCTGGTTATTTTGAAAGCGTGACAAGTACTGCCACAGGAAGGTTTTTTGTAGGTTTATGTACTGTTTTTAAAGTATCTGCATTTGTTCTCTCCCAAAAACTCAGCTGAAACAGATATGGAGGAAAGGCAGTATATGAAATCAAATAGAGAACAGCAAAGCGTTTTTGTTACATCAGTTTCAAAACAATCAAGCAAATACAGTAAAGAACTATTGCTATCAGTCATGTGGATAGGAATATCTCTTCCATTATCAGCACCCAACCAAGTTCAATCAAGCCTATTTAAAATCAATGAAAAAAAGGCCAAGAACAAGGCCAAATGTGAAAACAATGTGCATTTGTACACCTTACTTCTGACTTTCCAAACAGAAACTGACCAATTCAGCCTTCCTGCAACTCCTTAGACTAAAGCAGATACTAAAGTATCTGTAGATACTTTCTTTTTCAAAAAGAGATGAAATGACAACTCAGGTATCCATCACTTGCAGTCAGTACTAGGTATTAATTCCTCATGTTCCCAAAGTATGGAACGCAATTCAAGTGTCAACCTCAGACTTACGCTATTTAAATGTGTTTATCCTCTGCAGCCATTTAAGCCTTTCATTCTATTTCTATTTAATTGTCAAAAATACTTACAATTTCTGCACAGAAGATACCAGTGTCACTGAGTAATGACTTTTCTTTATGAAAACTAGTAATAAATTGGAAAAGGTAGAGGCTGACTATTGTACAGATTTCACAAAAGACGACTGAAAGAAAAAAACAGTTCTGTATGTGATCTTTTCTCTTCGGTGCTAACATTAGCATTAACAAGATAACATTAAATGTTTCAATTTAATCGTCTGTGGAGATAAAATTTAGCTTTTCATTTAAGGCAATTTCTTATTTTGGTTCAGTCATTTAATGAAGCCAAATCACAAAATAAGCCTTTTTTGACAATGTGGTGATTCAGATCTCTTACCGATACATGCAAAATCTATATAGACACGTGTACTATAGTTAATAGTCTTAATTACTGCATTTCTGTACACTTTGCAGAGTACACTAACAGCTTAACACTTTCTTAATATAACAAGCATACACACAAGTAATACAGATATTGGGAGATCAGATGAGTCACTACAGGGGTATAGGTTCCACAGGCTACCTTTTCTCTTCTACGGAATTTACACTGAAAAATTACTAACCTTGTAGGTAAATATAAACCAGTTTTAAAACTTCCAAATATCTGCACCTGAAACACAAGAACAGGATATATGAAAACAAATTTTCAGGCTTCAGAAGACAAACAAGTTCTATTAAGTTGCTTGTAAAGGCTGGGTATTGCTACCCTCTATTGGTAGATTTTGGTATTGCTAACAGGCACATTCTGAACAGAAGCACTCTTCCCTGTTAAAGCATTTACAGCTTCAATGTAGTACAGATGGCTAATCTTCATTTTTATTACCCACAAAACATTAATAACTTTGACTTTTCTACTACAAAACCTTCTTTGTAATGTAAAAATTTTCACCATGACCAAATTTGGCAAAAATCCATAAACCAAAAGATTTTAAAACACTTAAGAATGATAGAACATAAAAAAAACAGTATCAGTTCAATTTTTTTTTTCTTTCATATCTCAAAGTATACCCTTCAGTTTTTAAACACATTTTCTAAGTTTAATATATTTCCGTTGCTTTGCAAACTTTAAAAAAAAAAACTAAATCACAATCCATTTTTTTTCTGAATTATAGAGCAAGTAGCACAATTCTATTTATTTCTGCTTAAACAACAAACAAAAAAAGTTTCAGAAAGTTTCACATCCCACAGATTTAGTTTATCATGCTGGATTTTTACTAGCACTGGAGGTTTAAATAATCAAGTTTCCACTGTCAGCTGTCCGAAACCACGTTCTCATTAACCTAGCCAAGCCTCGCAGGGAGGTTGGACTCATGCGCTAGGTCTCAAAGGGGGACTGGTGAGACTTCAAAGTAAAAATATCTACACATTTGGACTAATTTACTAATTTTCATCCAGACAGTCTTCTGATGTGTTTCCTGGAGCCCCCTTAAAGACTTGCTTATTCTGCTTTAATGAGTCTCATACACTAAATTGATTGCCACCTATTTGTACATCAAGTGACCCACTTTTTAAGTTTTTCCCCTTTGGGATAAGAAAAAGGGGAAGATGGAAAAGATGATGTTTTGCAAGTAAATGTCTTGATATGTTAGTAGACTAAGAAGCAGTATGAGTGCTCCTCTTGATTATTTTATATTACTTCACTCTTTTTACCCCCTCACCCCAACCCCCCAACAAAAAGCACATTATGGCAATAAATTTAATGTTGAAAGTTCATAGCTTCTCAAACTAGAAAAGACTGCAAGAGATGCCACAGAACTAGCATCAATATTGTACTAGATCTTGACAAAAGCATAAAGGCATCGCAAAGCTAAGAATGTAGTAATAATAATAATTACTATTTTTAACCCAGGATAGTAATAAAAGCATCCTCTGCGAAACTGGGTTCAGTCAAACAAGGATTTATTTGGCCACCAAAAACATCTGAGAAGTGCTTTTGCACAATAAAACAACCACTGATGGGTTCGCAAAAAACTAAATGTGCTTTCCACATTATCAAACAAAATGGTGTGTTCAGCTGAAGAGCAAAAAGAGCCTTTATTGAATAAACAACCCTGAAAGTATTCATAAACTTACTGATACAACATATATGACCTTTACTGAAAGGAATGAGACAACATCTGCTGTTGTACAATAATTTGGAGTATGAGAAACACGGAATTATTATAAAAGAAACCCACACCCACACTTCAATCCCTCTCTCGTCAAATCTGGAAAGATGGAAGAATGGGGAAATCAGAACAGAAATTTTAAAGAATTTTGATTTATTATCGAATTGGAATTTAAACTGTTGAAGCTCTGTAGCCACGTACATATTTAAAGCATCCCAAATACAGGACACTGTTATGACTTGAGAGACGTGAGCATTAGTTTTTGCGGTGTGCCAATGCTGCCGATTATCTTTTTATTCTATGTGGACAGAGATATGTATTTGCATTCGTAAGATAACTTAAGACTTCACAGTACTGTAATGCACTCCTCCTACTCCTGTATGTTATTGTTACTATTTATCCTACATTTCTGCGAACTTGTTCATATTAAATTCCGAAGTTCCTGAAGGAACTTTAATTACGGTATGTGTCCAAATATGTCCACACTATGCAAAATAGAACTTGGAAACCCACAAAAGCTTGGAAAGTCCTTGCTACCAAAACCCCTCCATCAAAACAAAAAAAATCTATCCATAGCCAATTTAAATTTCCCTTTCTTCTACATCATTAAGTAGAATTTTCTGAAGTTTATCAAACTAAATAGAGTTCATCTTTCTATTTCCATTCCCAAACACAGTATTTTCATAACTGAAGTGCGTGAAGTATGCAACATTACCTCTTTTCAGATCTACAAGCCACATAATACTCAAACACAAAGCTGAGGACATTACGACAAACGTATCCTAAATTCCACTGTGTAAGTACTTATTTGTTCAACAGTCAAATTTTCATATTCAACTGGTCAAAAAACTTTGTCTTAAAATGCTTTTGTTTAATGTTTTGGGTTGCTCAGTTTCAGTGTAATTAAAGCCTTTCTTAGGGTCAGAGCCTTGCTGATGCCAAGAACAGTTCTCACTTACTAGGAATGTTTCCTTCTAAGCACATTCCCTTGAGTAAGAGAGCAAATGACACAATTGCTAACATCTATAAATAAAGTAACAGTTTAGGATACCTAGTTTTATCCCCCCTCCATCTGCTTTTTCAGCCTTTTCCTAAGTGGAACAGGAAAAGAAAAAAATGTATGTGCACAGACACATTCCACATGCTCTCTATACATGAAGCCTGATTTTCCTTTTCTTGGTATCTGATTTTTATAGAGTATGTCTTATCTACATGTTTAGTGAGAAACTACAAACTAAATGTGTATGTTTAACTTACAAGTTTATTTTAGCTGGATTTGCTGCATCTATGACTCAAAATGAACAGCTTAAACATTAACTTATCGCTTTACGCTACAGCTAAAGCTGAGGACATTGGACCAGATAACACTCCACCTTCTCAGAGCACGTACTCAAAACTTAAATCTTACAAGTAGCTAAACCAACACAGATTTCCAAAAGGTTAGTGATTAACTCAAACGACTGAAAAATTACAACAGGAGACTGTCAAAGTTTTTTTTCAGCAGGTCAGTTCCTAAGCAGATCTGTAAACTATTAGAAAAATAACACTACAGTAATTTCCCGATTATAACCTGGCATGCTGTTGTCACTGTTCAGTTCCGTTCTAGCCTCCAGAAAACAGAAGGGCATACAAGAGGAGAATTCTTCCTCGATGTAGTAACAGCAGGCAAAATACAGAGTTGGGCTTTGAAGAGCAGTTACTGACTTGAGAAAAAGGAAAACTGACACACTCTTGCTCTCTAATATTTTCAAGAACAGCGAAAAAAGACGGTCATGGCAGTTTTAACTGGCAATAATTGAAAAGTTAACTTCAGTTTTCAATTGCACGGTGTGTACTTCCTCTCAGTCACGTTACAGTTAAGCCCAGTGGTCAGCTGTCACTTGTGGTAAGGCTTTTAATTTGCTTCTCCTTCTTAAGCAGATTATGGCTACAAAAAACAGTTTCAGTAGCTTAAAGAAAGACTATTTTCTAAAGACCCCAAAGTCATATATATATATAATAAATACATATTTTTAATGCAAAAGACCTAGTTTTTACAGATCAAGTCTGTCTGACAAACAGAGTATCTCTGGAAGCACTAAGTTCCTGTGCCCTACTCAAAGTGTTAGCGGTAACAAAGATCCCCTGGAATAATCCATTCACCCCATTACACAGGTTAAGTCTGCAGCACACAAACTTGTTCAGGACATAGTGGCATCTTCTCCAGGCTGAAGCAATCCATTATTTTGGTGAAATCCCCTACTACAAGACTTTGGCAGGGTGCATTAACAGTAAGCACTGCTTCATACCTGCACTGTTTCCTATACTATCGCCTGTCACACTGGCAGCCCACTACTGCTCTTGATTAGGGTCTACAACACTGTTTCACTGGGTTAGAGGAGAGCTATACAACACCTGTGAGATATGCTGAAGTCTCTTACACGGTTCCCTTGGAAATGTTATTGGTTTTGCTCAAAGAGAAGATTACCAGACACGTGTAGTACTGACTGTATCAACTCCCTACAACTGTGCAAAGGTGGCTATCTCTGAGCCCTGAGTGCTCCTTCCATATTATACGTCACTAATAGGTTGTCCATAACACCACGAACCACCTTGAAAATGCAAGCATGTATTTTACACACAAAACCACACACCACATACATACAGCTTATACAGAGTTCATGTTGTGTCATATTATGCCAATTTCTAAAAACACATTCCAAAAAACAGATTAAGAAGATCTGAAATGAACAGTGGGTTTAAGTCACTCATGTCAAAACACTATCTTTTACCATGGCAGGATCAAAGACCATTCCTTATACTAAAGATTCTGCTGTCTGAATTTGGTTTGCTATTCTGGCTAACAAGTCCTTATTTTCAGCTACTGTTATCTATAGATAGATGACTAGGGCTACAAATCTGCATTCTGGAAATGAACACCATGTTAGTAGAGGGATACAATTAAACTACATTCAATTACGCTAAAAATCCAACTGTGCCCTCATAAAACCATCTTGCGTTGTAAAAGCAACTTCTCTGGCTTCTCTTTAATCCAACCTTTATTTAAAAAAGCATAGCTCTGCATAGGAGAAACTCTTGTTTCGACTGAATGAAGTACTAGCAAAGACCCATCTTCAGTGGAAAGAAGCATTACAGATTTTAAGCTCAATACACAGATCTACAGACTTGTTTGTTCCTGTACAAAAAACTGGTTCCTTTGAATTTGTAAGATATGTCAATTTAGTTTAACTATCCATTAAAACCAGCATGGTCTACGTAATGTGGCATTGCTGGCATTCCACCTTAATAGACTTATTCAAGACAGCAGGTCTTTGGACTAAAAGTCCTGCTACTAGTGAAGTTATGAGTTGCAGAAGATTTTTTTTTAACACAATACTTTATAAGCATGCATGCATGCCTGATACGTTCCCATTAATCTCAGTAAATAAATATTAATGAGACTAAATGTTGCCACACATTATGCCCTTTTTTTGACCGCAGTAGGTCTAGCTTGTCTTTGCTCCTATGTGTGATGGAAAATGTTGACCTGTATTATTCTAGAAGTAAAGATCATCTCTCTCACTTGACCAGAAATCCCTTTGGTTTTTTTTAATATGGAAAAATAAACAGTATTTTCATTATTCAATACTTCACAAAGTAAACAGGCATAAAATATTGCTTTTATATATTAAAAAATAGAACAGGGTCCTACTCACATCTGCATTAGGCCAGAGCTCTTTTATAACGTTTTCTATCCTGTTCACCACTTCCATCCGCATTCTCTCTTCTTCAGGTCTGGGAGACATATACTTATAAAAGTCAATGATTTCTTCATGAAGACTAAGAAAGAAAAAAAAAGAAGAACAGAAAATCAGGAAAAAAACCCCAGGAGAATGAAATAGCAACCACTCTCATCAAACATGCTTTTTAAGCTCCTAGTTACCTATTTAGTTAAGGGGCAGTTTAAGAGTAGCATGCAATTAAAAAAAAAGAAAAATCCAGATTCACAACACTCAGTAATATTTAGTTTCCTGTTAGTTTCTTATGCCGTAAGTCAATATTGCATTGCATTTGCCGAAAGTGTGGAAGCAAACCTAAATCCAAGTGCCTTCAATCCACACTGAAAGTCACACTCTGTAACACAGAAATGGTTCAGTTTTCAACCATGAACGCAGCTGTAAACTCCGAGTACACACTTGCAAAAATTTAAACAGGAGGTTTTCAGCCAACGCTTCCTAGTCAGCCCCTTGGCACCAGCTAGGGAGCCTCAGGCACCAGTCTGTGTTCAGTACCAAGCTTTTAGAAAGTTGGTAGTAATTGTGCCAGTACTAGAGCTAGAAAAAAGGCTTTTTTTACTGCTTAGAGAAGACACATAAACTAAATATGCACTCTCTCCCCATAACAAGAAAATAAGTAGTACACACACAGCAGTGGTGGCTCAGAAGAATAAGTGATTGACAGACAGTTAACCCATATATTTGACAGTTTACCATATTACATGTGCTTCTCACAGTCAGTAAGTTACGTTTAGATTGCCTATGATTAGAGGTGAAATAAAAATGTCTTCATACAGTGCCACAAGTTTCTGTAATATCATAAACACATCATCTTGACTAACAACGTATTTAAAAAACCCAGACACAACCCTTTAATTCCAGCCACAGAGTAGCTAAATTAATTTCATTTGTTTCCTGCAATGACCATTACAGTAATAGCTAGGATTTTTTTTTAAATGTGTTGCTTCTTGTTACCAAGTACAACTGCATCTCTCCTTAAAGCTCTGAGGGACCATCAGAAGAGAGCAATTTATTAAGAGCAAGCCCTTAGATGAGATGTGGAATCTAGTACTTTTCCACTGCACACACACTTAAATAAATCAGATGTTAATAACTGGAAGTTGTATACAGGTGTCAACAAAACAGATTAAAATAGCTGAAAGTTGTATTTAACAGAGTCAGGGTAGGGACAGAACTCAAACCATCTGCATTATGTTCTTCAATACTGCAGCGTTATGAACAACACAAGCTTCTTTCTCTGAGAAACAGAGGAATAAAATATTTACATTACTTTTCACTGAGCATTTATTGGAATTTCCCACACACACGGTTAGGGGAATAATCATAAAAGCCTAGCAACTTGTGGTGGCCATCACCATGGCTCTCTATAGCTAATGCAAAGAGAAAAACTCCTCTGACAGAGATCCTCCAAAGGGAGATCCAGACAGATACCCGATTTAGCTGTCCTAAATCAACCTTTGGAAAAGCTTCTCCTTCTTTGACACCTACAGAGGGAGCTTTACAAATGCTTAAACTAAAAACTAAAATAAACTAACCCCCCGCAAAAGATCTCCTGCAAAAATGCAAGGTGCCATCTCCCTCCTCTCCCCCTCTTACTGCCACACTGGCACAAGCCCTGTTCACGCACAACATCTCAGGTACCACAAGGATGTTCTGAACAATGCAGCTGCAATATTCATACCGATAAGTGCTGTTTTCAGCATTTATTTTGACATTGCTAGGAAATTTCTTACCTCCTCCTACGGCTGCTCTCTTGCTTTTCCTTGGAAGCTTGCAGCTTGCACATTCCAAACCACCACTGCCATCCATTACATGGGCACTGAGTCCTCTGCTTTTGGCTTTTCAGCCATCTCCTATTCTTCTATTCTTCACTGCTATTCAACATATTGGCACTTAAACCTTCTTACAGCTATCCTCCCATTGCAAGAATTGAATTCAGGTGAGAAGTATGCGATAAAGGACAAGTTGAGCACTCCAACAACCAAGTTCACTCTCTGTTCCCACTGCCAGTCACACATACTGAATTGCTAATTTACTCTCCATGTGCTTGACCATCAAGGTAGCATTCAGAAACAGGAGCAGTAAGGAAAACAGGCAAAAACCCAATAATCAAACTCTAGAAAACACAAATTATTTTTCAACTGTAATTTAGTGAACCAGCTTACAGGAAGACCTGGGAGTCAGCCCAAGGCTTCCTATCATATCTGGCAAACTCTTTACTTTCTTTGCAGGCTGCATTGTGGGGAACTGATCAAGCAACACAGCCCCGTTTCTGCCTCTGCTCCTCTGGACTAGCTGGAACAGACTGGTTACATCCACAAGGGACAAGATTTGCCCCACAGCGATGTTTTTAGTAACGTAAGACTGAGTGCACGCATGCACGGTGTGCCATGAGGAGTGGCACCACATTGTCTGAGGGCACTTAACGGCACAAGACGTGCTGGGATAATACCGAGGGACAATCCCTGGGGAGAAATTCATGTATGGCACAGCACAAATCCGTACTGCCCATCATTAGTGGGCCCAGCTGCTCCTGGGCTTCCACTTTACGGGAGTTAATTGTTCCCCTGCCCCATAAGGGAACTTTGAAAGAACAAGGCAATCAGAAATGACGTCCCCAAAGTGCACAAAGGGCCAAGCCATACAGACACTGCAGTTCTCGAGGCACTTCTCTTTATTAACTCCACTGACACTCTTAATTGACATAATTATATCAGTTAGTGCATTCTTTAGAAGCACATAAAATAATGATGTGTTGTCAGAACCAGATGTATTTCTTTTTCTAAACATAAATAACGAATGTCTGCATCTCTTTAAATGGGATCCTTCTTATTCTTAGTCATGTAAAGCTTTATGGCAAAACAAAAAATTAAGCAGCATGCAAACATAGAAACTTCCGTTACATGTGCACTGAATGTTACTGAACAATGCAGATGTAGAAAAAATGAAATTTGAACTTTTTCAATGGTAGAAAAAAGGCTTAAACACTACTAGAGAAAGTTCCCATCAGCACACCAGTTGGAAACACCACAGACGTATCTGTGTTTCGTCTGCTGAAAGACTCCATGCTGCTAGGACCGCCTGTGCTGCACAGAGCCACAGTAGGCAGAAGGCAGGCAGAAGCCGTAAAGGCTCAAGACTACACCTGGAACTATATTTCCCTGCCCGATAATGGCTGCTGCCAAGAAATGAGAGAATGATTAATTAAAGCCAAGACAAACAGAAGTAGCCACATGCAGATTTCAGAGCAGTACAACACGACTTAGAGGTGCGACTCCAATTAATGTAGAGTTAACTCAAGCTGTATTGAAAATTAAAACTCAAGGTTATTCGCTGTCTTAATCAACATCTATTATAGTTGCTGTTTTTCAAAACAATTTGTTTGGATTAATGGAGTCTGTTTACAAGAGTCTCTAGTGGAATTCTACATCTTTAGCCAAAACGAAGATCAAAGAGACTGAGAAGTTATTTTTGGCATCATAACAGTATTTTATTATTTAATGCCATTATTCATTAGTTATTTTAGATAAAAGTCCTTAAAAGGAGACTTGGTTTTAGAAGGAAATTACACTGTAATAAACTTGATTTCACTATGGAGAGATATTTCATTTGGCTTTATAATCATACTGAAGCATACCAACACCCAAGACCTGGGTGCATGGAGAGAGTTCTCTGCAATGCATAAGAGCATTAGTTTACTGTTTTTATGACAGTAAAGAGCAGTAACAAGTGGATCTTTATCCTGTACTTTAGGAAATTTTAACATGTGGGGAAAAGAAAAATAAAATAGTCTCTTACACTTTCTCTGAGTATGTTTTAAAACAAAGTACTAGCTGCATCATACCCCGTTTTCAAGCCTGGTAAGCTGATTCCATCAGAATTTCACAGACAGAACAGAATTATAGAGAAGAGAAGCCACTAAATGTAGTGGATTATAGTATCTGTAACGTTTACCTGACAGTGATAGTGATGCATCATTGAAAAATAAATTATGGCTGCAAAAGTAGTAATCACAAGAAGGACTGCCCACCGTAACATCAGGGAATAGCAGAATGAGGAACGCAAGTCTGCTAGACTCAAGCCATTTAGGTGAAAAGCCGCAGCTTTTGTGCAGATGCAAGTACTATGGAACACAGTGCATTACATTTCTTTCTTAGTTGATCACACCTCACTTTATTTTGTAGCACAACTTGTGGGCTCTAAATGTGCAATTCGGGATTCTCAAACTAGTTTACATATATCATACTTATTCTGGAGTATGAATCTTACTGCACCTCTGGCAATCAATTAAAAAATAACCGTGTACGAACAAAATGTTATTTCTGTTTTATATGCACAGCACACAGACAGATACGTGGACAAGCACATACACTTGACCATACACTTCAGTTACCTGACACATAAAGCAGAACAACTCGCTATTGCTGCCAGTTCAGAACTGGAATCAAGAGTGATGCTGGGAGGCATGTCGCTTTATGAACCGTAACTGGAGATACTACAAGTTTCACTTCTCTGCACGAGGATCCCGATGCAGACTAAATGACCAGCCCACTGTGCTCGCAGATTTCGGTGGCTTGGAGAAAGCCAGCCCAACACAACCAAGGCCCAGCACTTGCCAGCCACACCAGAAGCTGCCCCGAGTGGGACCATGCCTGGACCCTCTCTACCTGCCCCAAGCAGCTGAGCAGCAGAGCGCAGTCCTGCTAAGCAGAGCAGCCAGCGAGATAAAGATAATTCTGACTGGTTTTGCTTAATCACAGGATAGCAGTTAAGTGCTGCCTTTGCACGCCAACATGCAGTATGATACTAACCAGGGTAATAAGTTTTAATTCAAAAATTTCTTGCTTTTGTCATTCTGGAATTGTGCTATACTTCCACTCTCCTCTGGCTCTTCCTCACTCTCCATTTCACAGGAGAAATTATGCAGGCATGCATGTTCTAATTTCTCTCATCAGGGTGTTACCCATAGCTTCTGCTCCAACCGTTAAAAACGACTGGGTTAAAAAGTCTGCTCATCCATCCCACAGATGGATGCCTT